GTTACTAAAGACATGTCGCTCTATTCCAACTAGAGTTACTAAAGACATGTCGCTCTATTCCAACTAGAGTTACTAAAGACATGTCGCTCTATTCCAACTAGAGTTACTAAAGACATGTCGCTCTATTCCAACTAGAGTTACTAAAGACATGTCGCTCTATTCCAACTAGAGTTACTAAAGACATGTCGCTCTATTCCAACTAGAGTTATTAAAGACATGTCGCTCTATTCCAACTAGAGTTACTAAAGACATGTCGCTCTATTCCAACTAGAGTTACTAAAGACATGTCGCTCTATTCCAACTAGAGTTACTAAAGACATGTCGCTCTATTCCAACTAGAGTTATTAAAGACATGTCGCTCTATTCCAACTAGAGTTACTAAAGACATGTCGCTCTATTCCAACTAGAGTTATTAAAGACATGTCGCTCTATTCCAACTAGAGTTATTAAAGACACGCTCTATTCCAACTAGAGTTATTAAAGACATGTCGCTCTATTCCAACTAGAGTTATTAAAGACATGTCGCTCTATTCCAACTAGAGTTACTAAAGACATGTCGCTCTATTCCAACTAGAGTTATTAAAGACATGTCGCTCTATTCCAACTAGAGTTATTAAAGACATGTCGCTCTATTCCAACTAGAGTTACTAAAGACATGTCGCTCTATTCCAACTAGAGTTACTAAAGACATGTCGCTCTATTCCAACTAGAGTTATTAAAGACATGTCGCTCTATTCCAACTAGAGTTATTAAAGACATGTCGCTCTATTCCAACTAGAGTTATTAAAGACATGTCGCTCTATTCCAACTAGAGTTACTAAAGACATGTCGCTCTATTCCAACTAGAGTTACTAAAGACATGTCGCTCTATTCCAACTAGAGTTATTAAAGACATGTCGCTCTATTCCAACTAGAGTTATTAAAGACATGTCGCTCTATTCCAACTAGAGTTATTAAAGACATGTCGCTCTATTCCAACTAGAGTTACTAAAGACATGTCGCTCTATTCCAACTAGAGTTATTAAAGACATGTCGCTCTATTCCAACTAGAGTTATTAAAGACATGTCGCTCTATTCCAACTAGAGTTACTAAAGACATGTCGCTCTATTCCAACTAGAGTTATTAAAGACATGTCGCTCTATTCCAACTAGAGTTATTAAAGACATGTCGCTCTATTCCAACTAGAGTTACTAAAGACATGTCGCTCTATTCCAACTAGAGTTACTAAAGACATGTCGCTCTATTCCAACTAGTTATTAAAGACATGTCGCTCTATTCCAACTAGAGTTATTAAAGACATGTCGCTCTATTCCAACTAGAGTTACTAAAGACATGTCGCTCTATTCCAACTAGTTATTAAAGACATGTCGCTCTATTCCAACTAGAGTTATTAAAGACATGTCGCTCTATTCCAACTAGAGTTATTAAAGACATGTCGCTCTATTCCAACTAGTTATTAAAGACATGTCGCTCTATTCCAACTAGAGTTATTAAAGACATGTCGCTCTATTCCAACTAGAGTTATTAAAGACATGTCGCTCTATTCCAACTAGAGTTATTAAAGACATGTCGCTCTATTCCAACTAGAGTTATTAAAGACATGTCGCTCTATTCCAACTAGAGTTACTAAAGACATGTCGCTCTATTCCAACTAGAGTTACTAAAGACATGTCGCTCTATTCCAACTAGAGTTATTAAAGACATGTCGCTCTATTCCAACTAGAGTTATTAAAGACATGTCGCTCTATTCCAACTAGAGTTATTAAAGACATGTCGCTCTATTCCAACTAGAGTTATTAAAGACATGTCGCTCTATTCCAACTAGAGTTACTAAAGACATGTCGCTCTATTCCAACTAGAGTTATTAAAGACATGTCGCTCTATTCCAACTAGAGTTATTAAAGACATGTCGCTCTATTCCAACTAGAGTTACTAAAGACATGTCGCTCTATTCCAACTAGAGTTATTAAAGACATGTCGCTCTATTCCAACTAGAGTTATTAAAGACATGTCGCTCTATTCCAACTAGAGTTACTAAAGACATGTCGCTCTATTCCAACTAGAGTTATTAAAGACATGTCGCTCTATTCCAACTAGAGTTATTAAAGACATGTCGCTCTATTCCAACTAGAGTTACTAAAGACATGTCGCTCTATTCCAACTAGTTACTAAAGACATGTCGCTCTATTCCAACTAGAGTTACTAAAGACATGTCGCTCTATTCCAACTAGAGTTACTAAAGACATGTCGCTCTATTCCAACTAGAGTTACTAAAGACATGTCGCTCTATTCCAACTAGAGTTATTAAAGACATGTCGCTCTATTCCAACTAGAGTTATTAAAGACATGTCGCTCTATTCCAACTAGAGTTACTAAAGACATGTCGCTCTATTCCAACTAGAGTTATTAAAGACATGTCGCTCTATTCCAACTAGAGTTACTAAAGACATGTCGCTCTATTCCAACTAGAGTTATTAAAGACATGTCGCTCTATTCCAACTAGAGTTATTAAAGACATGTCGCTCTATTCCAACTAGAGTTACTAAAGACATGTCGCTCTATTCCAACTAGAGTTATTAAAGACATGTCGCTCTATTCCAACTAGAGTTATTAAAGACATGTCGCTCTATTCCAACTAGAGTTACTAAAGACATGTCGCTCTATTCCAACTAGAGTTACTAAAGACATGTCGCTCTATTCCAACTAGAGTTATTAAAGACATGTCGCTCTATTCCAACTAGAGTTACTAAAGACATGTCGCTCTATTCCAACTAGAGTTACTAAAGACATGTCGCTCTATTCCAACTAGTTATTAAAGACATGTCGCTCTATTCCAACTAGAGTTACTAAAGACATGTCGCTCTATTCCAACTAGAGTTACTAAAGACATGTCGCTCTATTCCAACTAGAGTTACTAAAGACATGTCGCTCTATTCCAACTAGAGTTATTAAAGACATGTCGCTCTATTCCAACTAGAGTTACTAAAGACATGTCGCTCTATTCCAACTAGAGTTACTAAAGACATGTCGCTCTATTCCAACTAGAGTTATTAAAGACATGTCGCTCTATTCCAACTAGAGTTATTAAAGACATGTCGCTCTATTCCAACTAGAGTTATTAAAGACATGTCGCTCTATTCCAACTAGAGTTATTAAAGACATGTCGCTCTATTCCAACTAGAGTTATTAAAGACATGTCGCTCTATTCCAACTAGAGTTATTAGGGATGTAACGATTCACTCATCTCACGATGCGATACGATTCACGATACTGGTTTCACGATACGATTTTCTCACGATTTTTTTAACAAATGCGATTTAAGACAAAAGTGTCCGTTTTATTATTTCTCAGACAAAATGCTGCACATTTCTTTTTAATTTAAAATATATTTGTCAAATAATAAAACTACATTAAAAAAATTCCCTTCAAGGTTGTTTCAACTCAGTCTTTCTGTCTGTTTGGTCAAGAGGCTGGACACTGGTACCTTCGCACACTATGTAAAAGACTGTGTAAAATTAGTAGTACCAGATTGACAGGGGTTTTACATTGTAATAAAGGCAAGATTCTAATTTTGTTATAATTTGTATCATTACACTAGTAAGAGTAAAAAAAAAACACATTTAGAGAAAGAGATAGTAAAATAAATACAACACCTGGTTGCCACGGAAACACTGATGCACCTTGTGATCTCCGTGGCTCTCGCAATTGTAGTATTAATGACTTTTACATGAAAACGGAGGTGACTGGTGTTACTCACGGTGGTGGTGATTATTATTAGTCTACGGAAAGTCAAAATGCCGCCACACCTCCGATTTGAATGAGTCAACGTCAACATCTACGCTTGCCGTCGCCAAAGCCATGTCTACTGTTTGACGGCACGTGCACACCAGTCTATGGCACACACTGGTGCGGCGCGAGCGGAGCAAACCGAGCGTTTTCAGTTCATTCCTATGGAAGTTGAGCTTGGCTCACACAAGATCAAGTTCCATGAATGAAGTGAAAACACTCGCTAGCTTCACGCCAGTGTGTGCTCGCTGCTATTGTGCTATTGTAAAGCGAGGTTCACAACTTCACAGTAGGCTATAGTAAACGCGCCCTGCTGTTTAAAACGTGTATCGCGATTCGTTTAACATTTCAACCGACTTGAATCGTCACACATTTTTATCGATTTTCAACCGGTTGCGAGTGAATCGTTACATCCCTAAGAGTTATTAAAGACATGTCGCTCTATTCCAACTAGAGTTATTAAAGACATGTCGCTCTATTCCAACTAGAGTTATTAAAGACATGTCGCTCTATTCCAACTAGAGTTATTAAAGACATGTCGCTCTATTCCAACTAGAGTTATTAAAGACACGCTCTATTCCAACTAGAGTTATTAAAGCGCATTAAACTGCGAAAGATGTGCTTTCTGTGAGACGGAGCGGGACACGGACGAGCAAAGAATACGCCTCAACCTCAAACACACACACAAATATCTCAATGTCCATATCCGTCTTTAATAAGAATCAATGCATATTTAATTCATACACTATGCAGTGATCTAAAGTTTAACTCCGGGTTTAATGACTATTTTGACAACTGATTATTTAATGCAATACAGTGTTTTAAATTGTGAAAATCAATAAGGCAAGGCAAGTTTATTTATATAGCACATTTCATACACAATGGTAATTCAAAGTGCTTTACATAGAGGAAATTAAAATAATCAAAAGAAATAATAAGAGATTATAAAGTCATCATATTAAAGGGCCAGTACACCCAAAAATAACAATTCTGTCACCATTTACTCACCCTGAATTTGTTCCAAACCTGTATGAGTTTCTTTCTTCTGCTGTACACACAAATTAGTATTTTTTCTGCATGCTATATGAGTGAATGGAGCCCCTTTGCCTACTAACATTCTTCAAAATATCTCCCAGAACAGTTTGGAACAACATGAGAGTGAGTAAATGATGGCAGAATCTCAGTTAAAACTCATTTCTCCAGCATCCCTCACCTCTCGATATCTTTGGACTTCATGATGTGAGTCCTGACGGCGGTGACGGTCCACGGGCCGAACCGGAAGTCCTGTTTGCTGCTCTGAAACCCTTGAGGAATCACTGAAGACATCCTGCAGACCAGCTAATGTCTGAGAAAGAGCAGCGACTGAAACCCACGTCTCTTTACTTCATTAGCAGAATCGCGACCATAGACTGTAGAAACTGCATGCTCTAAAATGTTTTTGAATGTAAGGATTAATCTGGACTCAAAATCAAACTTAAGATTCGCAGTTAGTTAAACGCTCTTTTATAGTTCAGTTGATTAAAGCAGACCAAAACTGGCACACATACATCAATTACGTTAAGACTGTTCACAACACAGAAGTAAAACCATTAATAAAAGCGAATACGAGCATAATTCACTCTCACCTCGCATCCGTTTCCATGTATGCATAGAGCGCAACCTCCAATTCCTCCCGGTGTCGCGCGAACAGCAGCCGATGATTCCGGTTCCGGCAGTGGACAACAAGTCCTATCTATTTAACTGGGGAACCCTGACATCTCAGAACCTGCTTGCCGAACTCCCAACTAAATTACATATTTCAAATCAGCAACAAAATCTGACACAAACTGTACCATAACCTTTATTGCTTAAGCTCCAATTACGCAAATAAATAAATACATAAATATTTATTTAAGTAACAACATTCATTCCATTAACAAAAATCCTACTGACATTTGAAATTAACAATAAGTAAAACAATTGACTTTGTACGAGGGACATCGAGTATTGACATTAAAACAGACAATACATAACATTATTACATCATAAATAAATAAATATATAAAAAGGAAAGAAAGGCAAAGAAATATTTAGTTTTTTGTTTTGACTCAAGTAGGGGGATAGAAAGATCTCATTTAAACATGGGTTAGAAACATGGGTTTAATATCTGGAATGTTTGAATTGCCTTTGTTTCTTTTAAATGTACATAGGGAATCAGCAAGACTTTTTAATTCAGAGCAAAAGACAAAAAAAAATTGGTTTCGAAGCTGTAAATTTAGATTTGTGGATATGACCTTTTCCAAGCAAGCACATGATTGTGACTGCGTTATCTAAAAGAACAGAACCAGTGTTAGAAAGCAAGAATAAGACCATTTCTTCTGTAATATCAAAAAGGGTATTAAAGGGTTATTTCAAAACTGAAATCTCTGTCCAAAATGATACTGTGAATCTAAAAAACAAATGAAGCACAGATTTATTTTCAGATCCACAAAAAGAATATTCTGGTTGAATATCCATAAACTTAGATAAAAATAACTTACAGGGGTACAATTTGTGAAGGATTTTTATATGAATTTCTTTAACCTTATTTGGTATTACAAAGTTATTATGAGCAGACCATGTGTTACACAAATATAAGGAAGGATAAAAAACTTCCATAAGGCCATTGCTTTAGGAGCAATACTGCTCATAGAGATTAATATTTTTCTTATATAAATATTATTGCATGTTTTATCTAACAAATCAATTCCACCTATCATTAAACAGGGAGTTTCGTCCTTTAATGGAGAGTTTTATACGGATGATGTAATAAGATGTAGAAGCTTAGGTGATTTACCTTTAATTATCCTCAAAAACTCAATATGCGTAATATTAATATTGTTTTCCTTAGGCAAGGCAAGGCAAGTTTATTTATATAGCACATTTCATACACAATGGTAATTCAAAGTGCTTTACATAGAAGAAATTAAAATAATCAAAACAAATAAGAATAATTAAAACAGTTTAGAATAAAAAATAAAATAAAGTACAGTAAAAACAGTCGGACGAACAGTGGCACAGTGCTCATTCAGTAAATGCATAGCTAAACAGATGTGTTTTGAGTATTAATTTGAATGTGACTACTGTAGGAGCACATCTGATCTCCTCTGGAAGCTGTTCCAGCACATCTGATCTCCTCTGGAAGCTGTTCCAGCACATCTGATCTCCTCTGGAAGCTGTTCCAGCTAATCTGATCTCCTCTGGAAGCTGTTCCTGCACATCTGATCTCCTCTGGAAGCTGTTCCTGCACATCTGATCTCCTCTGGAAGCTGTTCCTGCACATCTGATCTCCTCTGGAAGCTGTTCCAGCTCATCTGATCTCCTCTGGAAGCTGTTCCAGCACATCTGATCTCCTCTGGATGCTATCGATCGGAGCCTCCGGGCCCCGCGGCTGGAGCGTCGTAGGCCCGTCCCGGGCCTCCGTCCTCCTAAACGCAGACCGTCCTTCTCGTCCCGTCTCCCCTCTCTCCTTTCGGGGAGAGGCCTCCGTCTTCCCCTCGGGGGAGGGCGGCGCCTCGTCGCTCCGAGGTCCCGGGTGTCCTCCTCCGCGGCTGCCGGTGCCTCAAAACCACCGCTGCCCGCGCGAGGAGACCTCACCCGCCTCGGTCGGCGGACGTCGTCGTGGGGGTCTCGCTCGCACCCTGGGGAGGGAGGGGGTCGGCGGGTCGGGAACGTGGGACGCCCCTAGGTCGCCGGCCAGTCTCCGGGTCCGCCCCGGGGCGGCCGCTTCCAAAAACCCCAGCTTCGACCTCAGATCAGGCGAGACTACCCGCTGAATTTAAGCATATTACTAAGCGGAGGAAAAGAAACTAACAAGGATTCCCTCAGTAGCGGCGAGCGAAGAGGGAAGAGCCCAGCGCCGAATCCCCGTCCCCTCAGCCGGGGCGAGGGAATTGTGGCGTACAGAAGACCGCTCTCCCGGCGCGGGCCGGGGGTCTAAGTCCTTCTGATGGAGGCTTAGCCCGTGGACGGTGTGAGGCCGGTAATGGCCCCCGCCCCGCCGGGGTACGGTTCTTCTCGGAGTCGGGTTGCTTGGGAATGCAGCCCAAAGCGGGTGGTAAACTCCATCCAAGGCTAAATACCGTCACGAGACCGATAGCGGACAAGTACCGTGAGGGAAAGTTGAAAAGAACTTTGAAGAGAGAGTTCAACAGGGCGTGAAACCGTTAAGAGGTAAACGGGTGGGGTCCGCACGGGCCGCCCGGAGGATTCAACCCGGCGGGCGGGGCGAGCTCGGCCTCCGTCGGGCGCACTTCCTCCGCGGCGGTGCGCCGCGACCGGCTCCGGTTTGGCCAGGAAGGGTCAGGGGGCGAAGGTGGCTCGGGTTTGCCGCTCTCCCCGGGGCCGCGGGCAGTGTCCTCCGCGCCTTCCCTCTCCTCGCAGAGGGACGGGGCGCCCCGCCCCCGACGCGTGCGTCGCCCGGACCGGACTGTCCCCAGTCCGAATCCGAAAGCGCCGCGCCGCCAGGGCGGGGACCGGCCCACGAAACAGGCGCTCGAGGTCCGCGGCGATGTCGGCCACCCACCCGACCCGTCTTGAAACACGGACCAAGGAGTCTAACGCGCGCGCGAGTCAGAGGGTGTCTACGAGCCCCCACGGCGCAATGAAGGTGAAGGCCGGCGCATGCCTGCCCGGGTGGGATCCCCCCTCCCCGGAGGGGGGCGCACCACCGGCCCGTCTCACCCGGTCCGCCGGGGAGGTGGAGCGAGAGCGCGTGCAATGGTACCCGAAAGATGGTGAACTATGCCTGGGCAGGGCGAAGCCAGAGGAAACTCTGGTGGAGGCCCGCAGCGGTCCTGACGTGCAAATCGGTCGTCCGACCTGGGTATAGGGGCGAAAGACTAATCGAACCATCTAGTAGCTGGTTCCCTCCCTTGAAGCGACGCCGGAGATAGTGGGGACAGTGCAAGTCACCATGGGTACACAGCATATTGGAACTGGGTGCTGGGTGGCTGGTTCGGTTGGTCAACCTTGTGTAGATTTTGGTGGTGTCTGTTGAGTGTCAGCCAGTCGGATCAGGACTCTCGGAATATGGGCTTTACTCGGGAATGCCAAACCCTCCATCTTGAGCCCGATAACTGGGGCCGGCGCTCAGGGTAAGGTGGGCTTCACATTTGGAGTCGGGTACCGTTTGACCTGATCCGCTTCAACGCGATGGACCGAAAGGTCGGGTCGTTGCGACAGCGGAGGGATCGGCGGTTCTTAGGCTTCATTTGAATAGAGCTCACTGGCCTGGCAGCTGACTGTGGGTCGGTAAGGGCGAAGCGCCTCCTAGATCTTGGTCCGGGGGTTGCAACGCCTAACCCGATCTGCACCTTAACCTACCCGCTAATAGCCTCGTTATGGCGGGATGGGGGTGACGTCCCATCCTCGCTGACATAAATGATGGTACGGACAAGGTGGGAAACTAAACTGAAACCATCATCTCATAGGGCGGTTGCAATGCAGAGCTGTGTGGGGGTTACTCCAAACCCCTCCGGCTTGCCTAGGAAACCAAGCTCCCCGTTTCCAACCGGTCCGGGGTAACCCGGGGAGGTGGGGTTGAGCGTCCCTGCGGAGGGATGGGTTAGGCGAACTCATTGGACGCCGCAGGGTGTTTCGCCCCACCTTGGAGCACTCGTGACAACGCGGACAAGATTCATGGTCTCGGTTAACTGATGCGGACAAGCCTGGAGGCCAAAAGGGTGTCACAAGTAGTAGAACCACACCTTAAGTCTCGGAGTGACCCGTAAGGGTAGCCTAGCAGAACCCATCTCTTGCGTAAATGGGGTGCTTTGTCAGATACCCTGTGCAATGTCGGTGGGCTAGCCTGCGACGCTAATACCCGGGGTTGCATCAATATAAGGGCGGAACACCTCCGAAAGCGGCCTGTGGGGGCAGAACCCGTGCGGAGCTCGTCACCTGCTAAAGTCTCAGGCAGGTTGGCGGGTCAACCCGCTGTGCTAATGCTCTCAACAGGGCGCAAACCCGAAAGATGGGCAGTCCGTCATCGCAGCTGGTAGTGGCGGACATCTGCCAGCGTTGCCGGACTCCTAGCGAAGGAACATGCCATTGGCAGGAAGGCCTCTCCCACGGTAGGTGAGGAACCATTCGCCTAGGGAGCGAGGAACGCTGGTGGGGAAACGTCTTACAACTGGATTGCACACCCGAAAGATGGTCATAAGCCCCTTCTAGTGACACTCCCGCGGCACGAGAAGCGACACGAGGGGGGGAGGGCATTGCCTCGAACATTAAGCTAACCTCTCTGTTCTTCTTCTGTTACAGGTGCAGCGGCAGCAGTTGTTGCGGACAAGGTCTAGGGCGCCGGTGTGCCGGACT